TGTATTTCTATACCGCTGGCACTTTTTTTTAATCAAAATATCCATTCTATTTTATTGTTGTTTTCAATGTTAGATACTGAACTCCTAGAGATCAGGTGCTAGGCTGAATCCTCATTGCTAGGACCATAGAGGTACTCATAAATATTAGGTGCATGATTACATCATGATGGGCATTCAGAAAGAAATGAAAGTCCCATTTCCTAAACTCTTTTAATCTGTTTATATGCAAATATTTCATTATGTTATTCTCCTCAGAACTCTCTTAAGTTCCTTATTTCCTTCAGGACATTTTAACACTCAGGGTTACTTAGCTTTCTGAGGCTTTATTGTCAGCAGCAGTAACCAGCTCTGGGTAGCTTAGACAGGAAAGAAACTATTAAAGGAGGATTGGGTAACTCCCACACAAAATGGATGGGAGTGTAGAGAATCAGATTTGAAGGCAAGTGGGAAGTCAGGGAGTTTTGAAAGCATGAGTAGTCTGATGCAGATGCCACAGCTGCTGTTGAATTTTTCTTGAAAGACTACTGCTGTGACTGCTCATTTAATCTCACCCACACTTTGTTTCCCAGGATTCACTGGTTTAGGTGGGAGTGACTGGTTGCTGAGTCTAGCTCTTGTACCTTTACACTGGCTACCCTGGGTTTATGGAGAGGAAGAACCCCTCTCTCCCTTTGGTCTGAAATGGGAGGTGGAGCCTTGCATCCTTCCAAAACTCACAATGGACAGTTCCACAAAACTTGGAATTGTAAATGCAAGGCAGCTTAACAACAATAACAGCAAAAGAAGTTACAATGATCCATCAGAGGTTTCTCTTCAGTCTTATAATCTGAAGCTCCTGAGTTTGTCTGTCTGAAAGGGCTGGTTCAGTCTTTTGCCAGAATTACTAGGCTGGATGATCTGGGAAGATTGCTAGATGACAGTTTCCTAGTTTAAGGAAAATAAAAACAAACTTTGCCAGGGTAATTTTATTTTTAAAATGAGATGATGTGTATTAAGTGCTTATAATGCCTGGCACTTAGTATACAGTCAATAAACAGTAGTCAGTGAAATACAGTATATAATTTTGGCTCCAGTTTACCTTCTTAGCTATCTCATTTCTCCTTCCAACATGAAAACTCTCCATAAATCCAAAATGTTTTTGCTATTATTCTTAAATATGCCTCGTGCTTTCCACCTTTTCTTCTCCATATGCCACCTCTTTTTCTTCCATCCTTCTTTTATGACTCTGTTCAAATCTTTGCTGCTTCTCAGTAAGAAAGAAGTACTGGCCCATCTTTTTATTATTGCTCTTTGCCATCCAGTTTGGCACTTAGATTTTATGGTAGTTTTCTTGGTATTTGTATGTTATTTTTGATAAAGTGGTCTGCTAGAGGGCAAACGGGGCTATTTTTGGGGAAAAAACAGTTTAGTAGAAGGAACGTAAGGCTTGGAGTTAGAAGTCTTTGGTTCCAGCCTAGCGCTAGCTAGGACTTTGGACAAGTTTCTGAATGTGTTCTTTTTATATAAAATGGAGATAACATTATATGATTTTGGTGAGGGTCAGATGAAATATGTGTGTGAAGGAAAAGGCTGTGTAAACTGTGTAACGTATAATTGCTTTTGTATGGATCTTGTACCTAATGTCATGCCTTACACATAGGCTTAATATATTAATGATAATGCTTTTTTTAAACAGTCCTTTCAGATTTTCATGGCATCAAAAGACATGTAATTTTTTTGTACATTTAAAAAAACTGTAATCAGATTGTGATGAAAATGTTATAACTATCTTTGATTTTGTTCATGTGTAATATTCAGTGATTACTCTTGGTTCCAATAAAATGTTGTATTGTTTTATTATACAGTTGCGTAATTTATTAGATTTCAAATTCCATCAGATTATTTTTGTTCAGTTAAATAAAGAATATATTTCTTTGCTGAATCACAGCTGATGATTTCTCTTGAAGATTTTGCCCTAGAAACTAATTCTAAAGAGAGTGATTTGAGAGGCTTGTGTTCAAAAGTGTACGATATGGGAACAGGTCCAGCTGGCAACTTTTTTTTTTAATGTTTAGATTAGTCTTAGAGGGAGAAAATGTGCAGAGATTTTAAAATACAGTTCGTTTTTCTGAATGGTCTTTTCTTTCATCTCTCCAACATCATAAAAGTTGGTATTTTAGTGGCAAATTATTCATGAATAGGCCCCGGATACATAGCTGTGGCCCAACAGGTCTAGGGAAAGATTACATAGGCTTTGCCTCTCTTCATTTAGGAGACTTGTGATTTTATTTTATTTGTTTTTGTTATATGACTAGCTCTTGTTAGATTTTGCAGTGAAAATTTTCTCTAAACAATTTCATCGGTAAACAAATAAGTTTTGATGGAAAGTGTTTCCACAGGAGGCTATATTGGAATTTGACAAAACCAAGTTTTGTTAAGCAAATGTATGATTTTTAAAAAGCAACTAAATGTTACACCTTACCAAGGAGGATATACAGTGTCTTAATCAGCTGGGTGAAAACTTCCATTGGGTGGGTTAAGCAACCAACGTTTATTTCTTGTAGTTCTGAAGCTGGGAAGTCCAAAGTGAAGATACTGGTAGATTCAGCTTCTAATGAGGGCTCTTTACAGGTTTGTAGATGGCTGCCTTCTTCCTTTGTCCTCAGATGATAGAGATTGAGAGAGCTGTGGTCTTTTTTCCTCTTCTTGCAAGCACACCAATCCCATCATAGGGACTCCACCATCATGACCTCACCTAAATCTGATTACCTCCCAAAGGCTCCTTTTCTAAATACCATTATACTGGGGGTTAGAGCTTCAACATAGGACATTTGAGGGGTGACAAACATTCAGTTAATAACATTCAGGTGGCAAGTAAGCATATAAAAATGCTCAACATCATCTATCAATAGAGAATTGCAAGTTGCAACAACAATGACACGTTACCACATACTAGTGGAATGGTGGAAATGCGAAACTGACACTACCAAATGCTGTAGAGCAACAGGAATTATGATGGAATACAAAATGGTACATCTCCTTTGGAAGTCAATTCGGCAGTTTCTTAACAAAAGTAAACATACTCTTACTATATGACCCAGCAATTGCACACCTTGTGTTTACCTAAGTGGGCTGAAAACTTAAGTCCACACAAAACCTGCACATGGATGTTTAAAAGCTTTATTCATAATTTTGATAACTTGGAAGCAACAAAAATGTCCTTTAGTAGATGTACAAATCAATAAACTGTGGCACATCCAGACAATGGGTATTATTTATTGCTAAAAATAAATGAACTATAAACCCATGAAAAGATGTATAAAATCTTAAATGCGTATTACTAAGTGAAAGAAACCAATCTGAAAAGGGCACATACAGTATGATTTCATATATAACATTCTGGAAAAGACAAAACTATGGAGACAGTAAAAAGATCAGTCCTTTCCAGGGGTTAGCAGGGAGAGGGACAAATAGACAGAGTACAAGGTTTTTTTTTTTTTTTTTTTTAGGACAGAGACTATTCTGTATGAGAACATAATGGTGGATACTCATTATACATTGTGAAAATCCATAGAATATACACCAAGTGTGAACCATAATGTGAACTGTGGGCTTTGGATGATGGTGATGTGTCAATGTAGGTTCGTCAGTTGTAGCAATGTACCATTGTGGTGTGAGATGTTGATAATGGGGGAAGTTATATGTGTGTCAGAGGCCGAGGGTATATAGGAACTCTTACTTGGTTCAATTTTGCTGAGAACCTTAAACTAGAAAAAGTAGTCTATTAAAAATGTTTATAGCAGTGGGGAAAAAAAGCCTTTCAATTTAGCCATCAGGCCAGATCTTCTGACATCAACCAGTATACTGCAATTCAATTCTGGCACCAACCACCCTGAATTAGTGTCAGATTCCACAGTTGAAGGGCATGGTCCTCAGCAAGACCGTCCTCCACGTCAGACACCAGCTGCGAGTCAAGTTCCCAGGCCACCCCATACTACTTGTCAACTGGCTCCAAATCCAGGGGGTTCCCAGACCCTTCTCACTACCTCTCCATAAGATTTCCCTCACATCAGATGCCATTTGCAAGCTCAGGGATCTCCAGGTCACCCATATTTCTGACCAACTGACTATAGATTCAGAGGGGTTCCTAGAAGACACATATAGCAAGGTCTAGAGCGTCCTGAATGTAGAGCTTTTAGCCCTCTCCCTGTATACTTAGAGCACATAGCCCTCCCAGCACATCAGTGGATTCACCAACCAGAAAGCTCTCCTTTACTTCAGTGTCTAGCGTTTCTTTTGGGACTTCATGATGTAGGCTTAATTGATTGAACATTGACTAATTGATTGAAATAAATTTTTAGCCCCACTTTCCTCCTAAGAGGTTGGGTTGGGCCAAAGGCCCCTAATCAAACAATTAGTCTTTCTGGTGACTAGCTGCTATTTTGAGCCGTCTTGTTAACAGAAACCCTGGTGTGAATCAAGGGGCTTATGAATAACCAAGATCCTTTTATCACCTGGGAAATTCCAAGCGTGAAGCTGCTTGCCAGGAACCCAAGACAGACAAATTCAAGACCAGGTGCTGGAAAAATAGTAGCTCTTGATAACCTAATTTTTTTCAAAAGTGTATCATGGAAAGCTGAGGTGGCTGAGAAGTATTTAAGATTGAAAGATTTAAGAGGAAAAGCTGATTTACCGATCTCTATTAATGTAGTATTTTAATAGTTTAGCTGTTTTAGCTATTAATATTTATCATGCAGTTTTGAATTTTATATGTATAAATATATTTCTTTGATAAAAAGAAGCGAAGACTACTTGGAAAGATCAGCCAGTAGAACAACAGAGGACCCTTTCCAGTTTTTACTGACTCACACTATTAAAACAGATGACCTTAACAATAGTTTTTGTCTGGGCTCTATATTGCTTCATTGGACTTAATTTTTCTTTTAATAGCAAGTTATTTCAGAGGGTTTTAGGCATCCACTTTCTCTAAGGAAGTGCTTAGTTATATTTTTCTCTTGCAGATTGATTATACCGGAACAGAGCCTTCCAGTCCCTGCAATAAATGTTTATCTCCGGATGTGACACCTTGCATTTGTACCATCAACTTCACACTGGAAAAGTCATTTGAGGTCTGTGTTTCCAAGTAATGTGCTAGAAAAGCCATGCTTTAAAAAATACTGATATGGTACTAAATGTCTTTTACTCTAGGTATTTTCTTTTTATAGAGAAGTCACTTTAATTTGCCAGAGTTCATAGGCTTTTGAGGGAGATTGTTTTATATGTTTGGCTGTTGCATTTTGCTGTCTGTTAATTAAATATGTTTATTTGAATGTTTTAGTACTTTGTAGACAAAATTTAAGACCTTGTATTTTTTTCTTTTACTAGATTATTTGATGAATGTACAAATAAATTTTATATCAAGTTATATATACTTGTATTTTTAAAATTATTGCTCAAATAGTTTTGCATACTTAAAATACTAAAGCAAACTTTACTTCAGATAATAAATACGAATTCTCCCATTACTTAATTGAATTATTTTTATGACACATGAAGCATTATAAAAAATGCACCTATTAAAACCTTATTGATCATTTATATTTTTATAAGTAGTTAGAAATCCGTCTGTTTGCATTTACACTGATCTGCCATTCTAAGCACATGCCAAAGGACATAAACATTCAAAAAAGGTGTGAAAAGACCTCTTTATACTCTCCTGTGCCTGAAAATTGAGCTTAAAATAGTTATTCTTTAGAGAGCAAAACTGCATTAATACGAGCCAACCTTTTAGATTTTCTGCACATAAGATTTTCTAAAGTGATGACGTTAATAGTTCCCAGTAGTTGGTTGCCATCTAGTGGTTATAGATGCTCTTTTTTTTTTTTGAGACGGAGTTTCGCTCTTGTT